TCTTCTTCTTCTTCTTCTTCTTCTTCTTCTTCTTCTTCTTCTTCTTCTTTAATTTTCAACTAGTAAAACTTATGTGAATGTTGTCTCTAGATCACTTGCCATTTTAGATGTGTATGTACGGTAAATCTATTCTACAGACTCATTCATCACTGAATTATTGCTGTCACTGCTCTACTGATATCTGCAACTTTTGCATAATACATGACTAGGATGCAGGATAAATTATTACTACGGCCCAAATATGACTTTCCAGTCAGTCAAAGAAAATAAATGGTAATTGGGTTTGGCTCCCATTTTATTTCGCTATATTAAATATAGATAATCAGCTTAGAATCATAACTGGGAGCAGAAGGCAGCTCTTAACTGAATCACACCTGGTTTTATGTCCTTGTTTGCCATGTTGCCAAAGTGAATTACTGCAGTTGTTAAGTGAATCATATAGTCATTAAGTGAATTTCCCCTTAACTTTGCTTGTCGGAAGCCAGCTGGTGATCACATAACCCCCCGGGATGTTGCAATCGTTAGAAATACAAACAAGTTGTCAATCTCCCAAATTTAGATTGTGTAACTGTGGTGACTGTAGGGTTTTAAGTGCGAGGACTGGTTGTTACGTCGCTTTTTTCAATGCTGTTGTTAACCTCAGATGATCACTAAACAAATGGCTGTATAGTCAAGGACTCCCTGAATCCGTCTGGATTATTTTTCAGACACAGAAGACGTAATATGTACACTTCCAAGTAGATAAGGATAGATTTCCCTCCTCAGCTACAAAAGGCCAAGATCTCCTCCTCCTCCTCCTCCTCCTCCTCCTCCACCTCCCTTTCTCCTTCTACTCCACCTCCTCCTTTTCCTCCTCCTCCTCTTCCTTTTCTTCTTCTCTTTTCCTACTCATCCGCCTCCTCCTTCTCTTCTTCTCTTTCTCCTTCTACACCTCCTCCTTCTTTTCCTCCTTCTCCTCCTCCTTTTCTTCTTTCCCCCTCCTCTTTCTTTTTCTCTCCTCCTCCTTCTCCTCCTCCTCTTCTTCTTTCTCCCTCCTCCTTCTTTTCCTCCTCCTCCTCCTCTCCTCCTCCTTCTCCTCCTCCTCTTCTTTCCCACTCCTCCTCCTTCTTCCCCCCCTCCTCCTCCTTCACTTCCTCTTTGACCACTTTGACTGTCAAAACACAGATGGCTACAAAATCAACTTGTCCAAATTACCTTGCCTTGATATTTTGGGAGGTGGTGGTACTGTGTCTCCTCACTGGAGTGTGGTGGGAATGCAGATTTTGCAGTATCCTTCCCTTGGAGTGAGGAGGGAATGGGGATTTTGCAGTATCCTTCCCCTGCCACACCTACCAAGCCACACCCACAGAACTGTTAGTAAAAAAAATTGAATTTCACCACTGGCTAAGGCTGATATGATAGCAGTCTTCCAATATCTCAGGGGTTGCCACAAAGAAGAGGGAGTCAAACTATTCTCTGAAGCACCAGAAGACAAGACAAGAAACAATGGATGGAAGTACAGACCTTATCAGTTCCTTGCTATAATTGCAAGGTCGTGAGCTCACACAGTCGAAAGGCTGCAGATTAAGTTCTGGCAAGCAGTCTTTGTGCCACAAAATGCAATGAGCAAAATCTTCAGAAATATGAACTGTTGTCTCCTACGATAACCACTCCGTTTCCTTCTATTTATTCCCCAGCCAGGGAGGGACCATTCAGCATCCACATGTGCTTTGCTTCCCAAGTCGACTTCTTGTCCTTTGTTGCTCACCTCTTCTAACTGCTCTGTGCATGCGTGCATCTGGAACAAACCCAGCTGTTCTTCCTCCAAACTTATTTCAGCCTCCGAAGGCAGCTGCCTCTCTGGTGGCTGGGAAATGTTGGGATGGCTCTGTCTCTACCTCTGCGTCCGACGCAGAGCATCCATCAAAGCCTTCTCCAGGCTCCAGTACTTGGCCAAGTTCCTCCCCAACCTCGTCCGAGTCTGCCGCCAGCTCCGTTGGTAGCTGGTGGGCCACAACCATCAGAAGATTGCAAAAGAGGATCACATGACCTTGGGATGCTACAACTACCATAAATACATGCCTGTAATAAGGTGCTTGAATTTTGATCATATGACTATGGGGATGCGGCAACAACGGTTGTTAAGGGCAAGGACTTGTTGTAAGTCCCTTTTTGTGGTGTCCTTGAAACTTTGAGCTGCAGATTGAGGACTGCTAGTAATTTAATACAGGTCACAGACCCAGTAGCCTTCATAGAACAAAAAGTTAAGACACAGTAAAATATGACAAGAAAACGAACAAAAAAAGGGCAAAAGTAAGCATGGTAAAACAAAGGAAGAATGATGTAAGACTCTAAAGTCCTACATAATATTTTGCTCCAGACAGTACAACTTCCAATCAATCCAAAATTAATTTGCCATTAGTAAAGCACAAATTCTGCAGACTGCTAATGGAGACTTAGCAACAGCTTGTGAGTTATGAGGTTCTTTCTCTGCCAGCAAAGATTTGCATAGAATGCACCCAGTCATCCGGGGAATTCGTAAGAAGTAGTTATGGGGCATCTAGGACAGATGTTCTCAGATGTTGGTCCCAAAGGTGCTTTTTTTCAAGAGGCCACTGGACTTTCTGATTTTTTTCTTTAAAGACCTTTTGCTTCTCATTTAAGAAGCTTCTTCAGCTCTGACTGGATGGCAGGGAATGGAAGGATTGATATTCCTTGCAGACAGCTGGTCATTTGCATCCTCTTTAGAGAGTCATTGAGGCCACTTGGAGGTTTATCTGTGTCCTCAGGGTCACCTGAGTAGTGCAAATGGGTGTGGAGCCTTCTTGGAACTGTTGAAAGGACTGTGGTGTACACTGGAGATAGATGATGTCGTATCCCTCCCCCTCTGTTGAGAGAGGGCTGTTCAGTTTTGACCTAGATGGCTTCTTTGATCCTTCTTTTAACCCAGCGGTCCTCTCTGTCCAAAATGTGGACTTATCTATCTTCCAAAGAGTGGGCTTTGTCTTTTAAATGCAGGTGGACTGCTGAATCTTGTTCTGATAGGTTTGTTCTCCTACGTTGTGCCATGCGTTTGTGAAGTGGTTGTTTTGTTTCCCCAATGTACAGATCTGCATATGGCTCACTGCATTGTAGTGTATATACCACGTTGCTCAGTTTGTGTCTGTGTGTTTTATCCTTGGAACGGACAAGCTTCTGCCTTAGTGTATTCTCGGGTTTGAAGTGTGCACATAATGAAGATCCTCCTGCAGCATGCGAAATGACAACGTTGCTTCGTTTATTGTTCTCATCATTATCTGTTACAGAGGAGCTCCTGTGGGGTCATTTTTGAGATTTGAGATCTCAGGTGTTGGATTTCAAACCACCAACTGGATCTCTGCAGTGCTCCAGTTTCTGCTTGCCTTCAGTCAACCCATGAAAAACGTGTTAGAATATTCATGACTGGGAGAGACATGGTAACAAGGTCAGCCAATGAATAGGCATAGCAACCAAGTCTGCCAATGAGAGCTTGAACAGATGTGAGTCTGTGCTGAGAGTCGAAACTGAAACTACTCTGTCTGCTCTGAACTCTGAGATGACTACTACTAGGATTACTACCAGTTCAATGGGTGTGACTAGATTGGGGGGGCATGTGACTGAGTGGGTGTGGCCAACTCAACATCACTCATGCACACTCAGTCACATGACACCCTCATCAAGCCATGCCCACTGAAACGATGGCCAAACATTTTGATTTGTGGGGGGTGGGACTTCAGCCTCACCGGAGCTAAGGGAGCACCTGCAAACTACCCAGTAAGAAAAAAAAAGGTTTTGTCCTCCCTAGCCCAGACTCAGACAGTGAGGATACTGGGGAAGAACATGGCCCAGTCCTGGAGTCTGGGTAAGGCTCCGCTGAGGGCTCTGCATCGGAGGCAGAGATGGGGCCAGGGCTGTCTGACAGTTATCAGCTGCCTTCAGAGTCGGAGATTAATGGGCCAGAAGAACAGCTGGAGCCTGTTCCCAGTGTGTGCATGCGCAGAGTTGCCAGACGAAGGGAACAGCTAAGGAACAAGGGTCGACTTGGGAGTAAGGCCACAGGTGGACGGTGAATGGCCCCTCCCGTAGGGAATAAAAGAGGAGCGAAAGGGGAGTGGAGTTTGCAGGAGACAATTAGTTCATTCCTGCATTCACGCCAAGTATTGCAGCGTCTGAAAGATATCGGCCTGGCCACTCTCCAAGCCTGATGAAGGTCAATAACTGTGAACTATCTTGAAAGACTGTAGACTTTGCTAGAGAGGAATTCACTGTAAATTAAATAAAAGGGATTTATCGGGACGAGGACTCAGCTTTGTGCTGCTGGAGAAGCCAAGGTTAGAACAGTAGGCAGTATTGTCCCACCATTCGTTACTTGTTCCTCTCATTGGAGCTGCAACTTTCCACCTCCTCAGCAACTCCTTTGACAAACTTTCCTAACTCCAACCCAGAGGTGGGTTCCTATCAGTTCACACCTATTCGGTAGAACCGGTTCGTCAAATCTACCGAACCGGTTAGAAGAGGTTCCACCAGTGGACCCGGAAAGCAGGCCACACCTACAGAAGAGGCTCCAAAATTTTTTGAAACCCACCAGTGGTCCTTGGATAGGATTATTCTACACTATCATGCTCCTATTTATAAAACTCAGGGCCTCTGTGAAAGGGAAGGATGACTACTGCGTTTGTGGTGCAATCAGAACGTTGCGTGTGTTGAAGTTGTTTTAACGCAAACCAAAGATGCCTTTTAAAAAACAAGCTTACATCCTATTCTTATGCAGGCCAGTGCTGTGTGTGAGGTAATTTAAGGTGGTTCTGACAAGTGTCATTGGCATCTTCATATCTGGTCACATGGGCGGCAAGCCACTCCCATAAAGGAGGCCACACCCACAGAGTAGGTTCGAACAATTTTTGAAACCCACCACTGCTCCAACCGGAATCCTTTCAAATCCCATAGGACGTGCCTCTAACGGTACAATGCTCCGCTAGCTTTCACGGGAGCCTGAGTGAGACGCTTGTGTGAATGAGATTTTACAAGAAGATTGACGCAGAACAAGAGGTCTGTGAGTCCTGGCACCACAAAGGCTCGGAGTAAACAGTAGGCAAAGGGCCCGCAGGATGTTTTGAATACAGACCCCATAATCAAGTTCCTCTAATCACTGTAATTAATTAGTCACTTTCTGGCACCCTGATAGTTTCGCTCCGTTGGGGTGCGGTTTCCTCAATTCGCGTAACCCTTTTTTTTTTTTTGCATTTCTCTGCTTAGTCACCGCGGAACAAAAGAGTCATATTTGCATATCTGGGTATTTGCATTTTCATTTCCCCCCAATTCCTTCATTCCTTTTCGGGCCTCGTGTGCTAATTCAGCACTCCTGTCTGTTCCGTATTCCGTTTCTGACGTTTTCCTTCTCCAAGCTTAACAGATCAAGGAGATGGGGCGGTGGGGGGAGGAGGATGTTACTAATTAACTTCCTCTAAGGTCATGTTTCTGATTAACTTGCAATGCTCAGAACACATTTTGGAACAGAAAATCGTTTAGTTGTGACAAGCAGCAGAATGATCCGCTTGGAAGAAATCTAGGTTAACTTTAAACCAGGGCCGGGCTGCTGGGGATTTGCAGGGGTTCGGGAGAACCTCTACCTGAGATTGTGTGCAATTTGGAGAAACTCCCCCCCCTCCCCAAATCCCACTCCTGGCTGGCCCTGCCTGCCCCTCAACTCCCAGGAGTCCCCACGCCAATGGTGGGTTGCTCCCGTTTTGGCACAGTTCAGCTGAACTGGTAGTAGCAGCGGTGGGAGGCCCCGCCCACCTGTCTGGACGTTTCTGCGCATGCAGAGAAGCATTGTGTTATTAACTTCTTTTTTTATTTCCTTTGTCTCAATATATTTTAGACTGTGTTTGTTAAAAATCTATACCGTGTACGGGCTCTGGAAAGTNTAGATGACCTCCAAAGTCCCATCCAACTGTCATTCTATGTCCTATGTATCATATTTGTGAATACATGTTCAGTGCCCAAATATATAGCAATCAATTTGTTCTTTCAAATAGATTAAATAAATACAAGAAAGAATAACCGAACATTTATCCTGTTTTCTCCTTCCCACTATAGAGGATATATTTATTCCCTATATTTTTTCTCAAATGATAAGACCCATTTGCATGATTCATGATTAGAATCAGTAAGAAAGGGAATTGGATATGGCCAGTAGAAAGACTAAGATTATGGAGAAAGTCTCCAAGAGAAATTCAGGAAGACTTTCAAGACCTTTCAAAATCAGGGATGATGATAATAATTCCGTTTTTAATTTCTGTATATAAAGTGGTAACAGAATTGAGTTTTACATGAATGCTACATAATGTTTCAGAGGATTAATTTCCCCCCAAAATGTCAAATAATCTTACAATGGCTTAATTAGTATGTTCAGATAAGGTAGTGTTTCTCAGCCTTCACAACTCTTTAAGATGTGTGGACTTCACCTCCTAGAATTTCCCAGGCAGTCATGCAGAATTCTGAGAGTTGAAGTACTTAGAATTGCCAAGAATTAGAAACACTGAGATAAGGGATGAGATGTTCTAGATTTGTCTAAAACTTTGCATTCTTAGAATGGTAGAGTCTGCACATATTCATTGAACATACTTTTCGAGAACATTATGCCGGCTACATATCTTTTGCTACTTTTTATGAGATTGATTCAGAACACATCTAAGAATAGACTTCTGAACGCTCACTATAAATCTCGTCCGTCATATCTTAAAAGTACTCCTTCATCCTCAAACACCAAATTGATAACTTTTAGGTTTACACTCACCCATCTGAATCTTCAGAGCTGGAATTATCATGATTCTGCTCGGCCTTCCATCTTTTATGTCTGTCAATGAGATCTGTCAAGTAGGAAGTTTTCTTTGCATTTCGTATTATAAATTTGTGCTTCAGGAGTTCTTTGGCCGTTGGTCTCTTAAAAATAGAATGTAAGTTTCTTTACTAAACTGAGGTCAGTTACAATATGGCTAAAATGTATTTGGTTGGTTGGTTATTTATTTATTTATTTATTTAATTTATTGGCCGCCCATCTTGGTAACAGTGGTAAGAGTTTCTACAAATCTTGAAGCAATGGAGAGGGAAAATGAATAAAAATAAAAGAGACATTACTTGCATAGCTCTTTGTTATCAGTCCTATTGATCTCACCTCTATCCATTT